AAAAAAAAAAAAAAAAAAAAAAAAAAAATATATATATATATATGTATGTGTATATATTTGGCATTTGCTTGGTTGATGAGCATAATGTTTCAGTGCTTAGTGTTCTAGAAACTACTGGCAGAACTTTGCCTTTTAGAATAGATTCTGATAAATTGCTGCAAAAATCATCAAACCATGAATAGTACATGCATCTTTTTTTTTCCTAGTACTTTTTAGTATTAACACCTTGTGATCTGACTCGATAGTCAAATTCTAATCCTTTGATCACAGGAGAGAACACAGAATCAGTTCATTAAGCCGTTAACTTCTTCTCTCCTAGCCTGTAATTTACTACCTGGTGAAATGGTGCTCTCTGCCCTACGAGGATAGTACGTGGGAGCTGAAAGAGGATGTTGATGAGGGCAAGATTCGAGAATTTAAACGGATCCAGTCAAGGCACCCAGAACTCAAAAGAGTGGTAAGTATATTTGCATTTAGAGTGTAAAGCCCACATAGGTAATGATGTAATTTTTTATTTATAGAAGTTTATGTTGTTGTTTAGCTTTTTATCATGGACACTTTCAAACATACAAAAGTTAAAGAAATGTTACAATGTACATTGTGAAGAAATGTTACAATGTACCCATCACCCAAATTTTAACAATTAATGATAGCTGATTTTTCATGTATTTCTCTATCTACTCATTTTCCTGTTTCCCAATTTATTTTAAAGAAAATCCCAGATTCTTTTATTTCATCCATAAATATTTTGGTGTTTATGTCTAAAGGATAAATAATACCATTTTTACACCTAAGAAAATTGAACCATTTCTCAATATCATCAAATAACCAATCGTTATATGAATTTCCCTGATTATCTTCTAATGTTAAATTGTTTGAATTGGATTCAGAATAAAGGTCTATATATTCCTGTCAGTTAATGTGTCTCAGATCTCTCTTAATTATAGTTCCTCCTGTCTCTCCTTTCCCATCTTGCAGTTTCTCTTGAAGAAATCAGGTGGTTTGTTCTCTAGGGTTTCCATGGTCTGAAGTTTGCCAGTTGCATTTCCCTCGGTACCTTCTAACATGTTCTCTGGCCCTTATATTTTACATAAATGGTTAGATACAGACCAGTGCTGTCCACTGGAACTTTTTAGCGCTGTGCTAACATACTAACCACTAGCTACATTGCAAACTTTCAGTAGTCACAGGTGGCTAGTGGCAGGTATAAAATATTATCATTGTAGACAGTTCCATTACAAACTACTATTCTAGAGGCTTGATCAGGTGGGGAAGGGAGATGACCAGATCTACTTAATAGATGGTTCTATCAGGTTGTCTTTTGTGATAGTATTAGCCATTTATGATCATTGCCTTGGTCTGTTTTTTTTTTTTTTAATGTTTATTTTTTTTGAGAGATGGAGTGTGAGTGGGGGAGGGGCAGAGAGAGGGAGACACAAAATCTGAAGCAGGCTCCAGAGTCTGAGCTGTCAGCACAGAGCCTGAAGTGGGGCTCAAACTCACAAGCCACGTGATCATGACCTGAGCTGAATTCGGACACTTAAACCGATTGAGCCACCCAAGCGCCCCTGCCTCGGACTGTTCTTTAAGGATTTCAGAATGATGATACTTTAATTGTATCACATCTTCATTTATTAGCCAGAATTTTCTATAAAATACGACTTACCTACTGTTTGGTCACTCTGAGGTACAGATTATATAAGAAAGGAGGATAAATGCTTTGTTTTCTTTATTTTCCAGTTTTCAAAATAACAAGGTAGTTCTCTAGCATCCTTCAGAAGTGATCAATGGATTTTTTTCTCTTTACGTTTTCCTTTTTTTTTTTAGTTTTTTAAACTTACGTTATGAACTCATGAATTTGAATATATTTAAGATGCTTTTAATTCACGTTTTTTAATTGATTTTAGGTACTAGAACTGCCTGGGACATTTGCCTAGTTTTGTTAATATCTTCACCCCACTAATTGAAATTTTCTCTTTTGTAGAATCGTCCACAGGCAAGTGCCTGGAAGAAGTTAGAGCTGTCACATGAGTATAAAAACAGAAACCAGTTACGGGAATATCAATTGGAAGGGGTCAACTGGCTGCTCTTTAATTGGTATAACAGGTATAGAAAAGAGTGGGCCCATGAAATGTAGGCTTGGTCTGGGAGGATTTTTATTCATTTTCTGTTGAAACAGTTTCTTTTTACTCTTTTGTTATGTACTTTTAAAAACATGGTATCTTTTAACATGCTTTTCTTTTTCCATGGTGAATCTTCAGGCAAAACTGCATCCTGGCTGATGAGATGGGATTGGGCAAAACTATCCAGTCCATTGCCTTTTTGCAGGAGGTATATAATGTGGGCATTCACGGACCCTTCCTGGTCATTGCCCCACTGTCCACAATTACTAACTGGGAGCGAGAATTCAATACGTGGACGGAAATGAACACTATTGTATACCATGGCAGTCTGGCTAGCCGTCAGATGATTCAGCAATATGAAATGTACTGCAAAGATTCACGGGTGAGTTGCATATCATGGGAATGTAATGGTTTGGAGAGAGTAGGCCAAGGTAGCTGGTATTTTAGAGGCTTTTCTATGAATAAAAGACTTTTAATGAGGTTTTCTTAGGTGGTTTATGGCATTTTGTCTAGATTACATGAGGAATTTTTTTCACTTTTGCTCTTTTTATCCAGTGAACATTTTGATCCAGTGGGAGTTCTGGCTTCATTTATGAATACTTAGATTTTAAATAGAATTTTACCAGTATTGATAACTTTTATTTAGGAGAGAATGGAGGTGGTGAACTTAGGCCATTTCCTTTCTTTTTCTTAAGTCTACTAAAATTTTCATCAAGATCAGTTCCTATTTCTATATAAATTTTAAAATAAAAATTTGAGCTATTCATCCTTTCTTAGTCGTATTTTGCTGCTATTTTGTTAAACTGATTCTCCTGTCCATTTTTAGACAGTAACAGATATTACCTATTTCACTTTCAGTTTTGTCTTGTATGTTTCAACGGTGCCTGACCTTTGTGGATATCAGTGTTAACTATCAAAAGATCTAGGTTTTGAGATACATGAGCTAGGCATACAGCAGAGTCAAAAATGTCCAGCTTCATTCAGTGAGGTCTGTCATTTTCTCAAGAAACTGAATGTGTTGAAGAGACATTGTATCTTACATTCAGTGATTTGGCATTATTTATCATGAAGATAAACAGCAGCAGAGGTGCGTGGTGGTGCAGTTTGTATTTCCTGTTGAGCCTGCCTGAATATAGAAAAGAGAATGTGTAATTCAGAAGAGGTCCCTGTTTAGGTTCATGGTAGGCCTTTTCTTAACTTTATTGCCTTCGTGCTTAGGGGCGCCTCATCCCAGGTGCATACAAGTTTGATGCCCTGATCACCACTTTCGAGATGATTTTGTCAGACTGTCCTGAGCTTCGTGAGATTGAATGGCGTTGTGTCATCATTGATGAGGCCCATCGGCTAAAGAACCGTAACTGCAAGCTGCTTGATAGCCTCAAGCACATGGACTTGGTGAGTTCTTTACATTGACTCATGGGCAAAAACACCTGAAATTAAAATAACCCTAATTCTCTGTGGAATTAATATAACTTTAATTACCAGAGAAGAAAAAAGAATCCCAATCCTGGTATTGGGTGGTGGGTATGACCTATGGGAGTGGACACCTGAAAGTCTTGTAAGAGTCCTGTATATTTTAGAATTGGAAGGTAATTGTATGTTAGTGGTTTTTAACCAGGTGGAGAGGTGGGATACTGTATTAGTTACCTCGTACTGCATAACAAATACCCTAAACGTTAGTGGCTAACAACTATTATTTTTTATGATTTTCTAGCCCAGCAACTTGGGCTGTGTTCGGCTAGACCATTACTTTGGTGATCTTGCCTGTAGTCAGTAATGTGGCTGCAGCTGGCAATTGGTGGGCTCTTGGGTCATCTTCTGTATGACCTGTTATCCTTCAGTAGGCCAGACGTTGCTTCTTTACATGGTAGAGTCAGGGCAGTGTCCAGAGAGGGCAAAGGCAGAAGTTGCAAGGCCTTTGAGTTATAGGCTCTGAAACTCACACAATATCACTTCTGCTACATTCTCTTTGTCAGAGCAAGCCACAAGGCAAGCCCAGATTCAAGGGGTGAACCTTGATAGGAGGAACTACAAAGAATTAATGGCCATATTTAATCCAGCACAGGTACATTCCCTAGAGGGGGACATATTAGGATATCTGTGGGGATTTGAGCGTGGAAAGGCATATGTAATTGAAAAAAATAAATATTTTGAATATTTCTTTGCTCATAATCATGTTTAAGTTAATTCTTATTAAATATCAAGGTGGTTTTTTTTTTTAATGTTTTTTAATGTTTTATCAAAAGAGGGAGCAAGAGTGAAAGAAAAGTTAAGATAGTAATCTGGTCCATTCCCATAATTATACAGATAAAGAAATTAATGCTTAATTTATATACTTGATAGAAAACCCCAGATGTCCTTTGTGTTTTTGAGTCTTATCATTTTTTTGTTTTCTCCATTTCTAGGAACACAAAGTGTTACTCACAGGAACACCATTGCAAAATACCGTGGAGGAACTGTTTAGCTTGCTTCATTTCTTGGAACCTTCACAGTTTCCTTCAGAATCAGAGTTCCTCAAGGACTTTGGGGATCTCAAGACAGAGGAACAGGTAGGAAATGTATCTGGACAAAAAAGGTAAAGTGTGTAGTAGGCACGCATGTACTGTCATAGGCCGTGAGGGCCTTTTTGAACTTACAACCTCGTGCCTGCATCATTTGTGGCATTGTGCAAAATGTACATTTCTCATAGTGGAAAACTCATGTTTTTTTTCATGTTTCCAAGTAACGTAAGCATGTTTGTCCTCATAGTTTTTATTTCTTTTCTCTCTGTATTGGGCACAGGTTCAAAAGCTACAGGCCATTCTCAAGCCAATGATGCTGAGAAGACTCAAGGAGGATGTTGAAAAAAACCTGGCACCCAAACAGGAAACTATTATTGAAGTAGAGCTGACCAACATCCAGAAGAAATACTACCGGGCTATTTTGGAGAAGAATTTCTCCTTCCTTTCCAAAGGGGCAGGTCACACTAACATGCCTAATCTGCTCAATACAATGATGGAGTTGCGCAAATGCTGCAACCACCCATATCTCATCAATGGTGAGAGAGCTCCTGGAGAATACTGCATTCCTCTGTCGCCTGTGTTTCCTTTCTAACGATACTCCTCAGGAACTGTGGATACGTTGACTGACTCAACCTAAGTTGGGGAGGGAGAGGGGTTCTTTTAAAGCAACTCTTATGTGAAATGTCTTTCGCTAGTTCTTCCCCCTTCATCCTGCATAATCTTAAATTATATGCAATTTGCTGTTTAGAATTTCATGGACAAGAACTCAAGTAGTCATTCTGTCCTTTGGAGAAATGTCCTCACTGGTACTCCATTTTGCAGTTTCTGATTTGGGTGCCAGTGGGATGGTAATAGTTGTTATCATGTACTGTCCTAGTTCTAGTCCACATATTTATGTATATTTTACCCAATTACAATCTTAAGTCCTGATTGATTTGTAGTATTTTGTATGACACAGTCGAAGATGTTTTGGGTGCTGAAATTCTCTGTGAGAAAAATGTTTATCTCAAGTCAGATGACTTTTCTTGGCTTCCTTATCTCGGTTAAGTAAACTACAGCCTTAGTATGTTTCTCTGGATCTCACCATCAAGTTTGATTTTTCTTTTGGCAGGTGCAGAAGAAAAAATCCTGACAGAATTTCGAGAAGCTTGCCATATTATACCTCATGACTTCCACTTGCAGGCCATGGTTCGCTCAGCTGGCAAATTGGTTCTTATTGACAAGTTGCTTCCAAAACTTAAAGCTGGTGGCCATAAGGTTCTGATCTTCTCCCAGATGGTACGCTGTCTAGATATCCTAGAGGATTATCTAATTCAGAGGAGGTGAGAAAAGAGTCATACCTTGCCTTGTGTTTAGTGTAGCTTCGTAAAGCTGCAAAGAGTAGGAGGGTCTGGGTTTAATAAAGTCGGCTAGGACTGGGATAAAAGAAGTATTTAAGATTCCTACTCTCAACTCTCTGATAAGGTTTGGGTCAGCTAGAGATACAGAGATACTGATATTGATCCTAGTCTGCTTTTTTGGTCTCTTTTTTCTGCTTACCAATTAAATTTTTTTCTGTGATTGTCGCACAGGTACCTATATGAGCGTATTGATGGGAGAGTCAGAGGTAACCTTCGACAGGCAGCTATTGACCGCTTCAGCAAGCCTGACTCAGACCGTTTTGTCTTTTTGCTATGCACCCGGGCTGGTGGACTTGGTATTAATCTCACAGCTGCTGATACCTGCATCATCTTTGATTCAGACTGGAATCCACAAAATGACCTGCAGGTAGAGGAAATCATTGTCTTAGGGACAAACCACCTAATGTAAGAGGTTTTTCAACAGGATCAAGATCTCATAGAAAGACTTTCTTTCGGGGCGCCTGGGTGGCGCAGTCGGTTGAGCGTCCGACTTCAACCAGGTCACGATCTCGCGGTCCGGGAGTTCGAGCCCTGCGTCAGGCTCTGGGCTGATGGCTCAG